AAAAGCTCCTCGTCGCGCCTGCCAAAGGTGCGTGGCAGTCTCAGGCCGCTCTCCGTCACCATGTCCAGCTTGTTGATCAACTGGGCAACGGCCACAATCGAGCCCTCATACGTCACAGGCATGCAGAGAATCGTCTTGGTGCGGTATCCAGTTGCCTTATCCACCTCGCGGTTGAAGCGCTCGTCGGCGTACGCATCGGAAATGTTTACTGTTTCACCTGACTGGGCCACAAATCCCGCAATACCCGCGCTAATCGGGATGGTGACAATATTGCCATCTTCAAAGTGGGCCTCCAGTGTGTCGTCCTTGACGAGGAAGATGCTGCAGCGGTCGCTCTCCGTGAGCGCCTTGGCGGTGTTCATGATGGAGTTGGCAAGCACGGCCTCGTCCAGGTTGTCACGGGCGAGCTGCGTCGCCATTGTCAGCATGGCCTCTGCCTTTTCCTTGTTCCAGTTCAGTCTTTCCGACTCAATGGCGTTGTGAAGCACAGTTGCAGTTACACGCAGAACACCATCGATTAGTGTGTTACTGTGGTAGTCGGTCCTACCAGAAGGGCTTTCGACGCAGCCGATGACTCTGCCTTTGTGCGACAGTGGTATGTACAGCGTCCCGGCGATGCTGAAGGACTCCATGGAGGTCAGTGATTTACCCAGCGGCGTGCTTTCGTCCGCCGGCGCCGCTACGCCATTCACAGGGTCGAGAAGCAGCTCGTCACCGGGGTCAAGATAGTAAGTGCGTGTATGGTCGGCCCGCAGCACTGCGGATAGCTGTTCATTGAGCATCATCAGGACCTCTTTAATGGGGAGGAGGAGGTCAATACATTTTTCCATTAGCCTTGTAACGCACTCAATGGGAGACTGAACCGCCGCCCCGATCGCCGGAACCACCGGAGCCGCGGTTACGCCGTCATGTCGTTTGGCGTACAACGCAGAATCCTCCGCTGCACCAGGCGCAATTTCATGAAATCGCTCAGAAAGCGCGTGAAACGCCTTCTTTTCTGTTTCGTCAAGTTGCAAGTTGCATCGCTTGTAGCGGGAGAGAATCACCTCGCAGAGGGTTAACGCCTCAAAGAGGTGGCGACCGCCCGTCTCCACCATCGCGTAATTAGGAGACTGTGTCTAGTAAAAATCACTATTTCCCTCTTTGCGGAAGGGAAATAGAGAGAAAAAAAAAAAAGGAAGAAAACGGGAGGGAGTGAGCCACGCAGAGAGGCGCATGCGCCCAAACCTTCAGCCCGCAGCCCCAGTGCCGTCAACCCCTTTGCAGCGGCATCAGCAGCGGCAGGACCACCACTTTGTCTTTCGGTCTTTTCGTTCGTGCATTACTTTTACCCCGTTCCTTCATCGCCCTCACATCCCGTGACGCCCAACAGTCAGGACGACAGGAAAGCCAAAAATCAAAAATCAAAAGGAACAAAGCCATGTAATCATCTTGGGCGTCTTATTGATGTAAGAACACCTCCTCCGTCAGTGGTGTTTGCCTCTTTTTTTTCTCCCCTTGTTTCCTTGTTGATAGGTGGCTACTGCCGGTGGCTCCCCAGACAATAAAAAAGAAATACATAGCAGCCGTATGTACATGAAAAACAACGTTGAGAAAGTGAGGGCCAGCCGCAGGTGTGGATGCACGCGCGTGTGTGTACATGAGAGCAGCTCAAACCACACACCTCCTGCTCTTCCTTCTCCGGAGGAAGCGGGCGATGGACGCGGGTGCGGTGCAGTGCGCTGCACGGCACGCACGGCGCAACGAAGATCTCCCCAGTTTCCCTCCCCCCCCGCGACGCACCCGCACCAACGACGCCACACTACATTGCAGAGACCGCCCGTAATGGGGAAGGGGAAAAGCGACTGAAACAAAAATCTCGCAACAAACCGGCGCAGCTTCATTCGCCTCCCCAAATGCAATCACACAAAAAAAAAATTGGTAGGAGCGTAGGGGGGGAATAAAGAGGATGAAAAGGAGCACTAGAAGAGGACAGCGTGGCCGGGGCGGAAGCACGCATTCCTCGACGAGAAAAATAACGCCCCTCCCACCCCTCCCCACCCCCACCCCACACACAAAAAAAAAAACGTACAAAAAGGGCGAGCAAACAGAATTAAACGGCCGCAACGAAGATATTTGTCAGCGGCCAAATATATACATAAAACTTGCAGCAGAAACCAGATAAGCGAGGAGGGGAGGTCACAAATCCCCACAGCCGCAAAACAACAACAAAAGACAAGGATCCTTTGAAGCCATTCAAGTGGTTACACAAGATGACAACCACTAAAGCCAACGGTTCCGCATGCCCCTGGAGTCTGAATGAAATACACATTTATACAAAGTCCAAATGTTTTTCTCCTTTAATAATGGCAATGATAATAAAAGACTCATCAGTGTTTGAAAACATTGCTGGTACTTCTTTCATCGGTTCCCCTGCAACTCTTCCTGTAATTACCTTGCCTCAAGCACACGCTCCCACTGTGCACGGTTGCTGTTCACACGGTCAACCGTCCACTGCATGCCAGTGAGGCAGGCTTCCACAATCTTCTTAAAAAACGGGCCGACAACAAAATCAATGAAGCCAATCTGGCCCTTGGCCAACTCTGTGTTCTTGGAACGATCGAACATGGGCAGCACCTCCACACCCTTCTCCTTCTCCATATCGCCCTGGCGGTAGAACTCCTCCGTCACCGCCATGGCCCACAGACGAGAAATGTCAAACGGCTTCGTCACATTCGAGACATCACCCGCCTTCAGCAAGATTTCCATAGTCATTTGCCGAAAATTCACTAAATTCGGATCGGGGTGTGCCACCAACTCCAGAAAACCGTCCAACGCAGCCCCGTGCTTCGCCATATCCGTTGCAAGCACACAGTCAATCATGGCGCGATACGCCAGGGCGCGATCGGCAGAATCAAGTCCCTCAAAGACATCCGAGTCCGGATCGGAGAGAATTTCGACGGCAAGGTTGCAGTGATGCACCTCCAGCACCGAGGTGTTGCCGCTCGCACTGGACAGAATACCTAGCGGGGACTCCGTCTTGAGGTAGAAGCTGTTGTTCAGCCCCATGTGGTCAAGGTCGTGCACCAGCGCCGTCACCAGCAGCACAAAGCAGTCGAGCTCGGTCAGCTTTTCGCAGGCAGCGCCCTTGTACAGGAAGGTATATACGGTCTGGCATACATCCACAACGTGGTAGAAGTTGTGGTACGGCACACTGCGGTACTTCTTCCGACACTGGAGGATAAAGTTCAGCAACGTGTCATCATGGCAGCGAAACTTCTGAGGAAGACCAGTCCCCAAGATTAGTCTGTACGCAACGGCAGCGGCGGCGTCAAGTGGCTCCTCCATATTCTCACGCACGTAGAACAGGTCGAATTCAACGCTTGTGATGTCCAGATGGCCGAGTTCAATTTCCCGTACCGCATCTCTTTCCCTGTCCGTAATGGCAAGCGGACGCTTTATATTGCGTACTGAGGCGCGTCGGCCACCAGCCAGTGCACGGTTCTCGTTCAGCTCCATCATTTCTCGGCCGGCATTCACAGCAAACTCTAGCAGGTGGGAATTGTTAATGGATATGCCTGCGAAAAGGGNGAAAACACGAAATGTCTCCCGGTCGCTCGCCGTGAACACAGTCACCTCCCCGGTG